GGATTGACAAAAGTAATTGTATTAATTAATAAATAAACAAAAAAAATTCTAATGAAATTTATCTATGATAAATAATATAATATGGTTACTTCTCAAGAACAATAATTTTTCAACAAAGTGTCTGCATAAGGATACCAATAACATACATTACAATATCATAACGCTGTTCCTGAGTCAATAGTTCTGACTAATCGTTAATTATTGTGCCAACGGCTATCATATCTGATTCTAGATGTATGTCGGAGCATTGTTGTCTTCTATTAAAATCGGGAAATGGTAACATAGGCACCTGATAATCATTCCACATAAGATTACATGCCACACTTCCGTATTTCATTTTTAGAACACTACCTAAAGCTTTGAGGCCAGAGCCTCTTGTGGGTGGCTATCATTTGGTTAGGATCTTTTCTATTGTTGTTTGTCCGTTACGCCTTTTTGCGAAAATAAGGCAACTCTCGTTCCTAAGATCTGGTGCTCTGTACATTGCATTCATAATGAGCTACAACAGTAATCAAGTTTATGAGAAACAGTAACAATATTAGAGAAATCGTGTGTTTGATAAAAGTATAATTGAAACTCAATAAAATAAGTTGAATAGCATTAAATCGGTATAAAATAGAATTACAAAACAGCGATAAAGTAACGGTAATTTAATGATATAATTTGTAGATTATCGCAGTTTGCTGTCTATAGTTATTTTGTCAGTTATTTAACAATAATTATTATCACAACTTTCTATTGTCATAGTAGTACCCACATTGGCTTAAAAATGTGTAAATATTATATTGATAACACGTACATATCCGTAATAAAGCATGTATAGTTTTGTAGATCCGATGATAAAAGAATCATGGCAGTTGGTTGTGACTACATCTCGAATATTACGTGTTCTATGATTCCAGTTTTCTGAATTTTCTACGATATGACGGAATTGCACTACCGACGTATAGCCACTTAATCTTGTACGAATTTTTTCATTTTTTTAGAGATACTCCATTTAATGAAAAATTAGATACTTTATTGTGATTTCTTACCTACTCCGGAAAGATTATATGGTGCTGTAGTTAGATAAGGGCATCTAGCTATGTCGACTTTTACGTCGTGGAATAGGGATTGCATTCCATTTTGTAGAACTATTGTCACATAACACACGCATGAAATATGATGCATTGGCGAATTAAATATAATAATAAACATTGTATAATACACATATCTTCTGCGATTTCTGCGAAGGTTGATGGCGTCAAATGGATGGTAATGTAAGATAGAAGACAGTTGTGTAACAATCACCATTTGATGCAATCGCCATGATTAGAACTGGAACACAAAACTATTAAATTTTTACTGAATTACGCGTAAGTTTATAAATTATTATATTATAAGTAAATTTAATGTCTGAAAAAAAAGTTGATATTAGTAAACTGTTTGACATAATCTAAAGTTTGACGGTTGATAATATATTATAACTATATAAAATGTACGTCACTGCTCAGAACTTTAATGCATCTTTAAAATTGAAAAATAGATTTAACTAATTTTTAACATTGTAAATATACTAAAATTTATATTCTCTCAATAATAAATTATTCTAATTATGAATACGTTTAAAAATGGAATTAAATATCACTGTTTTAAATAAGATAATTGTAATGGATGATTTAGCTAAAAAATTATGAAACACCTTAAAATTTTGGGCAATAATTTATGATGAGTTTATTTGCAATAATCTGTTATAAATATAATGTATCTATTAAAATATATTGTATGAATTGTATGCGGATTATTTTTGAATATAAATTACAAATGTCTTAATTATCATTCAAGAACTGTTTGTTTGAGTATTAAATTAGTTGCTATTAATTGTAGTTGTCATTTAAGAACACAATTTAAACGATTTATTATTTTCTTAAGTTTTTGTGGATTAAGTATATTTTAAAAATATAACATATGTCGCTTTGTATATGTATTTAACGCGCTGTTAAGTTGAATTTGTCATTTAATTTTTACAACTAGAAACCGTGATACTAATGTTGTAAAAACATTATCCATGAAATAGTATCCATGAAACAAACGCAATTCATACTTAAATTAAAGTACGGTTTAAATATTATTAAATAAATAATAAAGATAAATAAAGATAAACGAACAAATATTAGTCAGTAACGCCCGTTAGTTCGAAAAGAAAAAAATATACTAATTTAAATGACCGAAAGACGAGCAAATAAGATGAAATGAATATTGAAGCCTTAAATTCTTGAATATTAAAAGCTTTAAATTCACAATAATAATGTCAAATATGCATCAAAAATTTTTAAAGTATACTATGATCTGATACAACATCTTTGTCACAATAATGTGCTAGGTAACATTGTATGAATTTTTGTTTATGTAAGTACATAAGCAACTAGTTTAATTTTAAAAAGGCATTTAATTATAATATTATTTATAATATAATTAAATGCCTTATTTTTTAAATTTAAGTAACCTTCATATTTTATCCTATCTGGAGTAGTACCACTCATAAATTGCTTATCTGTTCTATGATTGCAGAAACTATGAAACTCCGCTTGTTGGACACTTACTGAAATATACAGAACATCAATACTTCATGAGGATTAATTTTTTAGATTTAGAAACAACTATCGCGTTTAAGTAATTAAGAAATATTTCATTAATATAATTTAATTTTATCACACAAATTCAAATTTGACCGAAGCGTGTATTAATAAAAAAAATTATATTAATTAATAAATAAAAAATTAAAAGTTTAACATCATCTAAGTGGCAAAAGGTATAATGCAATATTTCCCGAATTAATCGATTTTGACGTCTAATTGATGGACATTTGTCGCTGGTTGATTAGATATTTATGTATTTATAAAGAATAAAGTATATTATATATTTCTCAAAATTATTTTACTACAAAATGTAATATTTAAATAAAATATAAGTACGAAGACAGTATATATGAACCACGGTATAACCCATGGGATGAGGTGCCTGGAGGGGGAAGGGGACTGACCGAGTGGGGCGTTGTGGTGCGGGGG